TTTTTTTAGTTTTTTTTTTTTTTTTTTTTTAATTCTTCAATCTAAACTAAACAGAAATTAGAAAATTTGCCTAACTAATTGAAATAAATTACGTTTTTTATATTCTATTTTATTTCTGTTAATTTTAGTATTTTTAGTTTTGGTTAATGATAATAACTCCTTTAACAAGGTGCTATTTTAGTTTCGTTACTATACTATGTTAGTATTTATTAATATTTTACATTCGTTTTTATTTTATTTTTTAAATGTATTATATTTTAGTTTTTGCAATTTTGTTGCGTTTTAGCCACTCTTTTTAAGTCATGTAATGATTTTTGTTTAGGTTTTTATTAGGTTTTGTAATCATTTATTCATTTTTGTTTTGTTTGTATGATTTTTACCTTGTATTCGTGTGTGTTATGTATTTTTATGCTCATCACATTTACAACAGCAACAGTTTGTTGGTTGCCTATGTAGACAGCATGGCAGTGCACTAGCTTTTGGAACAGAGCCTCTTTGTATAACTGTAGTTTAGAGGTTTATTGTGATGATTTATGTTTTGGTTATGTATTATCATAATAGTTTTTAATATTGCAGTATTTTTAGCTGTTTATTTAGCTAATATCATTGCTCAGGATGTGTCACTCACTAAACATCAAGGACATTTGCCTTTGTAGGTTTTGAAAGAGAAGAAGCCGCTCACTGATTGGTCCAACATCACTGGCTCCTCCCCCTGCGTGATGTCACTCAGTCCTCTGACCATTCACAGAGCAGCACAGGTACAGTGTGAGCGTGCATGCGAGGGTTTGACTGAGTTTCAGCGCACTGACTGTGTTCAATATCATGCAGGAATCACTGAAGGACTCGTCCAGTTTGCCCCGCAGACGCAGCTCTCACAGGAAGAACACAGACAGACCGCTCTCTGCGCAAGGTGAGCAAACCACTGAGCGCTCACACAAACACCTGCTAAAATGCGCTTTAACAGGCGTCAGTAAGTCTGTAAGTAGGTCAGACAGCAGCACAATTGTGCAAGACGACGACATGCAAAACAAGCAGCAGCCAAACATGGCTCGTTAGCTGTGATTGGGCAGTGTTTTGCTCGGGATCGAGGCGTGTCTGTGTTACTGGAACACACTGGAAAAGCCAGTGGAGCCGCTGCCATCGCTTTTATTCCTCTTATACTCCTCAGTCATTTATCTCACCGGGAAATCAATCAAAGACAATCTGTAGAACTCTGTGTCAAACAGTGTTATTTCAGTTTCACTGAGATAATGTTGTCGTTTTTATTTTTAGATTTTCATTTTCGTTTTCTTTTTAGTTTTAGTAATTTTGTTGTTTTTTTGTCATTTTTATTTAATTTTTTTATTATGTATCTTTTTAATTTTATTTTTACATTTAATTTTTTTATTTTAATGAAATAAGATAAATGTTTAAGGTTTTTAATGTTTTATTTGATTTCAGTTAAGGTTTATTTTACAGTATCTCAAATAATTAATTCAAGTGTAATGCAAATAAAATGTAATTGATTCAGATTTCTTTTTTTATTTCAAAATGTAACACTTTTTAAATTGATAGTTCATTCAAAAATGTAAATTCTGTCATCATTTGCACAAAAAAAAGATTGTTTCAGTTTCCATTGACTTCCATTATATGGTCAAAAATTATGGGAAGGAGGATGGGGAAAATGTTACAGAGAATTTCTATTGAAATGCTGCAGTTGCCAAAGTAAACAGTGTGTGTGTGTGTGTGTGTGTGTGTGTGTTGCATACAGGTCAAGACACCCATGTGTGTGTTATTCAAATAGTAAAACAAATTTGTTGAACAAACAAGTCAATAAGTTGTCAAATGAGATCGTGATTGAATGTTATTTCAATTTATCACACATTCTGCTAATATTGTTATTTCTGTTTAATAAATGGCTTATGATTCTTCTTTTCAAAATGTCTTTGAATAAAAATGTAAATCTCATGAAGACATGTTCAAGTCACATTTCAAAATCAAAAGAAAAAAAAAATCGACTAAAGAAACAACCTATTTTTAGAATTTTATAATTTCATTCTTAATGGATTAATCTTGCATTAATGCAATGCAGTGTTTTTTTTAACCGTTCACCTTATTTTTGTAATTATCATTATTGCCACAGAATGATTTTTAAAATGTAATTTTTATTAATTCAGATTTTTATGATATATTGTTTTTAAAGGGATAGTTCACCCAAAAATAAGAATTCTGTTCTCATTTACTCATTCTCATGTCTTTCCAAATCTGTTTGACGTCATTTCTTCAGTGGAACACAAAAGAAGATATTTTGAAGAATGTTGGTAACCAAACCATTTCGGTTGCCGTTGACTTCTATTGTTTGGTGGGACCAGAAACTGTTTGGTTACTAACTCTCTTAAAAATATCTTCTTTTGTGTTCAGCATAAGAGGAAAAGTCATAGAGGTTTGGAATGACATAAAGAATTTCCATATTTGTGTGAACTGTCCCTTTAAGATGTTTATTAGCCGAAGCGTCTGATAATTGATAGACTGTGAATGTTGTTTTGCTGTCAGTGTTGGTGCGAATGACTCCAGACAGACAAACCTCGGAGGCTCCGTCGCCTCGCCTTCCTCACGACCACAGACTGAGTAATGGACTGAGATCAGTGCAGAGCGGCGGGAACGACTCACACACACCGAGTAACAGCGCCAGCACCTCCCGCGCTCCCAGGTGAGCCATAACACTGTTACAGGTGTGTGAGTGTGTGTGTGTGTGTGAGAGAGTGTGAGTGTGTGTGTGTGTGTGAAGGCTTTTATCTGAGGCGTATGAATCTGTATGTGAACGCATTAAACTGTGTGGGTGGAATTATGTAAAATCAAAAGGAATAATTAAGAGAAATTATCATTCTGTCAGTCATGATTTCATTCATATCTGTGTGCTGTGATATATAATCTGGAACATAATAGCAGAATTTTTAGCTATTTTAATGCAGCTCGTTTCCATACAACAACAGTTAATAATCCATAACCAGGACTTTCAAATGAAAAATAATTATTACAAAACACTGTAACATTAGTCCTTATGACTTATGTACTGTGAACCAAGTCTTCTGTTCTGAGTCGAAGGATTTGTGTGAGAAACAGACCAAAATCAGTGTTATTATAATTAACTAAAACTACAAAAAAAATTTTTTTACTTTAAATAAAATAGGCGTTAACTAAAATAAAATAAACTACAAAAAGCCTAAACTTATTTCAAGGCCTCATTTCTCATTTTCATTAACTGTTTTTGAAAAAAGTTGCCAGCCACCGCCAGCGTTTTTGCTGATTTTCACTAAAATTTCATGGCCCCCAGAATATTTTGTTGTATGAATATCTGAACATGCAATACATCAAAATAAAGAACAGACCCTCTACATTCAAACAAAAAAGTCTGTTTTATTCTAGTGTGCTAAATGTTTTTGATCAACACTTTCTAGACTCATTCAGGAGATGTGTAATGTAATGTGTTTGGCGGGGAAAGAGTTAACTAAAATAACTAAAACTGAAATCAAATTTCCAAAAACTTTTCAAAAATACAAAAAATGACAAAAACACAAAAAATTACTAAAACTTTAACTGAAATAAAAATAAAGTGGAAAATATTAAAATAAAAACGAATTAAAATATTAATAAAAACTATAATAGTGTATCAGTGAATTTATTTCCAACTATATCCGCATACATACAGTACACTCAAAGCGAAATATACTTTATTGCAAATCTCGCTGCGATTGTTTATATCATCACAGAATGTAACTATATCATTACACAGCTCTGTATATACAATTACATATTTGAGTAAATCCAAATTTACCTGCATACATACAGTATACTGCTCATGTAAAGCAATACTATATTGCAAATCTCAACTGCTTGATTGTTTTTATCATTACAAAATATAAACTCTATTATCGTTCAGCTAATAGAACATTTACTAGGATTACTAAATGTTTTAGAAGTATGTTTCATTGTTAGTTAAGGTTAACTAATGGAAGCGTATTGTGAAGTGTTTCTTTAAGTACTGATTGTGTTGTGTTGATATGAATGAGAGCTCTGTCTCTAACTCTGCTATGATCTCTGGTCTCTGCAGCCCGCAGAGCCTCCTGGATTTAGTGGAGATCGAGAGGAAACTCAGAGAGGCTAAAGCGGAGCGGGAACGTCTGCTGAAGGAGAGAGTGAGTTACTGATCCAGCTGTCAGAACACATGAAGAATTGACCGTCGGTCATTATAATGCAAAAAAAATAATAATAATTTTTTTTTATCAAAAAATGGCCAAAAAATATATTTGCTAAAATATGTAAATATATTTTCTATTAATATATATTGGCTTATAATATATATATTCTATTAAAATATATTTATACATTTAAAATATAATTTAAAACGTATACAAAAATGGCCAAAAAATTGATTTGCTAAAATATTTTTCAAAATATACTTGCGTAAATATTAGGGCTGTCAAATGATTAATCGTGATTAATCGCATCCAAAATAGAAGTTTTTGTTTGCATAATATATGTGTGTGTTCTGTGTATATTTATTATGTATATATAAATACACACACATACAGTATATATTTTTAAAATATTTACATGTTTACATGTCTATATTCATATAATTTATATTATAAATAAATATATTT